TCGATAGCCTGGCCGATTCCAGTATTCCAGTATATTTGTTTATCGAACATAATTTCAGTGACAATTGCAATATGCAAGCAAACACTTGCATTGGTGTGAATAATTGTCATCGAACCATCAAATCATTGCAGCAAAATGCAAATCACAATTTAACTCGATTGATTTCGGATTATCGCAAAGCCATTTTGTGGTAGTTTCATTCGATATGCAATGACTTTTCATATGTGCTCGGCCATAAGATTTCATCACAGAATGTTTTCTCGTCGAAAATGAATGGCAGTTCACGAAATTTCCCTTCTGCGGACTGACTCATCGATATGATAATACTAAAGTCAAAAGTCCGGCAAACGGTGAACAAACTGGTTGTATGTTGATGAATCGTTTGTGTAAAGTCTGCAGAAAATTCCTATAAAATGTCGCAAAAAATTCTTAGAACATTACAGTTCTTTACCGATCAGTTTAAAGATACATGTGGATCCATCGCTCTTTCTGCAGGATGTCTTCTTTTTCTCCGGTGATGTGAGGAGAGACGATCAATTACTGCAGATACTGACCTGTTTCCTGACCACCATAACCTCTGATAGTCCTATGGTGAACCATGTGCTCGATGTGATCTTCGCTGATCAAAGCGTTCAATGAGGTTACATCTCCAAAATTTCAGTCTTGCGAACAACAATGAAGATTCTGATAGCGATTCTTTTGTGTGTTCTGCTGGTGGCATCAACTATTGCAAATACTGACATCTTAGATGAGTCATTCGATCCGCATGCAGCAAAGTGAGTTGTTGATAAGTCCAAGTTAAAGACAATCATCAAAAATAACTAGCCATATTCAGATCTAACCTGAATTCAATTAACAATGGACTCGAAATTTCGGTTAAGGTGTGAGAAGCGATGCATAACGGTTCGAGTCGAATTTTTCAGTTGTTGAGACTGAATAGCATGCAGTTCTAATTCTGATCCACGGCTGCTTATTGAACAGGAACAGCCGTCTGTCGATTGATCAGTCTATCGATAAAACTCGATCGAAAAATTTTGATTAAAATGCTTCGAGAAAAAAACGCAATTTCTGAACGGATCTCATCTTATCATTTCGATACAGCTTACTACGAGGTTTTCATCAAATGGAACTGTTATCAAGTTATGAATTCATTCGCCAATGAAATTTCAGAGGTCGAGTTAAGCGTCATCTTCATATTTGGCCTCGTCCAATCTACAGACCGTACTATAGTCAACAATTTTACCCACATTATCATTATCATCATCATCATCGTCATCCTGGAAGACCTTATGGTAGGAAATGAGGTGAACGAATACGGTCAACACTTCCATTACCAACTGACGGCATCAGCGATACTTTCATACCTTTCAACTGATACATCGTTGAGATGATTTATTATAATCCTTAGGATTCTGATATTACTTATGTATACTTATGATATAACTATAAAATATTATTCTAATCCAGTGAATGTTATGTACTTTATGGAATTAAACATTATTGACAGCAGTTGAAATAACAATCAAGTATTATTCAGTTTCATTAGTAATTTCTCGTCGATATGCCTCACTTTAGCCGGGTCACCAATTGGTGCGGATTTGCTTGAGTTTTATAATCAAACTGTCATTTGCTGGATCAACATTAAGACTGCCTGCTTTCATTCGAATTAGCATGCTTTCAGTGGAAACATTCGAAGTTTCGATCAGAAATATCGTTCGAACAAACACCATCTATTTCAACATGCAGTCACCGGTATATATGCATACTGATACCAATGTATTTTGTGAGAACATGGTGAAACTAAAAGTTTTTAATTCCACCGATATTCTTTGAAAATTTATTTCAAAAAATGTTTTCTGTCATATGATTCGAATTTTGTTCTTCTTTTTCGCACTCCTGCAACTAAACGTTGTGAACACTTCAGTTCATAGTTTATTGAACTCTCTTACAAAAATCACTCAACAAGAAAGTTTGTAATCAAACTGTCATTCATGAGAACAGGTTCTAAATGCTGAAAAAAAAACAACCTCGCATTTTGCAACTGACAATTTTTTGACTTCAACTATTTCTCACTTTCCAAACTTTTTCATACGCTTTTTCGCCGACTTGTCGCTCATAATATGTCATTGATCAGTTTATATCATACGTATCACTCGAGTGTAAACAAACACTATTTAAGTCTTCAATTCGTAAATTTTGATCACATCTTTTTTTTGCATCGACGAACTTATTTGCAGCAAATTCTGCTGGCAGTGTGGATGGTTGCACAAGAGCGCATTGATATCTGAGTGCAGTTTCAGGTTGGAAGGGATGAAGCTGAATCTCTTTCTGATTGTCATGCTTGTTGGTGCCGTATCCTACCACGCTGTCAAAGCAATTCCACAGGGTGGAATGTACGTTTAGCGTTTTATTTCGATCCTTATGATATCCTCTCACTCACTTTATTACTTCCCAATGAGTGATTTATTTCTATGTTTTATAAGTTGCGTGTTGCAGTGGAGGAGGCCGGAGACCGCTATCGGACTGGGAGAAACGAAGAGAGTTAGCAATGGCCGGAGGACCCGAGCAAAGACCATGGGGTGTGCAGCACGACGTCTGAGCGACACGTTATGGCATTCAATATTGTGCCGTGACGATTACAGTTGAAACATCAATAAATATTTTAATAGTGGTAATATTATCACAAATTAGTACTATGGTGATTGATAGTGATTTGTAATGACTACGAAAATATTTTTCATCTGCAACAGTTTTTGATAATCTTTATATAATTTTAACACATTGAATAAAATTTCGCATGCATCTGATTGATTTTCATTGTGCTCTCATGATTTTCTCAGTTCACTGATGGCTCTTTCAGTTTCAACTTGACGATTTCGTAACAGAATTGGGATTTCATAATAGAATTATATTCAAGAAGTATTCATTTTTCACGACATAATTTTACGACAAGATCGCTTAATCTCACAAGTGTTTTATGCACTTGTACAGCACGACTTGTGATGGTGAGCGATTTTGCTAACGTACATTTTCTTTTGAAACACAAAACTATTTTCCTTCTGATAATCTCTGAGGATGTATCTCTTTGCGTACAACAGAAGTGAATATCCAATAGTTGACGCATTACATTAACTGAATTACGACTGAAGTAAGGTGTTGAATTTCTATTCTGCTATCATTTCGAATATCAGTCTTGATTTGGATGAAAGATGAAAATAAAAAGAGAATTTAAGAAAACAGACTTGAAATGTAAGTCTCATTGGTTGAGAAGAATAATCGTGAGATGTTGTTGCTTTTGTCTCGAAATGAAAACAAAAAAAAGCTCAAATAAACAGCTCGAATGAAAAAAATGATTGAATAAAAATAACAATTTTATTGCACTTAATGATTCCGACCAACTTTGGAATTGATCACATGTCGTTACCCAAATGAAATATGATTTGTTTACGCGTTTGCGAGAGAATTTTTTTGTTTTCGCCGCGAATGACAGAAATGATGATTCATCGCCTTCTATAATCATATACTTCAAAAAATCTGTTTGAACAAAATTGTCAACGAATATGATCGAAATTCGTTAAAATTGCTTTGAATCGACCATTAATTTCCACTGTCAATTGACATTACCACAATTTGTTGTTGTTACATCGTAAGCAACGCCATCTAATAGTAAGTATCAGTAATACTGTGACTGTTTTCCGCGTTTCGTTCTGAATCGTTTTCGTTCCACATAGGTTAATATCGTTACTCTTGTACAATGATATTTGCAATTTTGGAAGTTTGTTGACAAATCTCGAAATGATATGTTCATTTCAGAAACAAGTTTTCAATCATTTCAACGAGACATCTATTACTCTCTGTTTGGTAGTTTCAATCAACCGTAAATTAATTCTTTTATTACCAAACTTGGATGAGAACAACTGTGGAAGTAACAAAATACAACTAGAACATTCAATTCGAGCTGTTAACCTGTTGTAAATGCTTATTATTGGAAAAAAAAACTGATAATCAATTGGAAGAAAATGAAAATAGCGTCAAGTCAAAAATAGAAAATGAAAATAGCGTTGAACATAGTAATGTTTGTGAAGAAATTGACATGTTACTGGTTAAAGCTGAGAGTATAGTAGGTTTGGATGTGCCAACCCCTATAGCATCAGAAAAATAGCTATATCTTCTCGCAGAAGCAGAATTTCTCGGCAAGTTTTTCATTTTTAAAAAGCCGAGATTCTGTTCAATCGAATGATGTAAGAAATTGGATATGTTTCCGGGCAAACTTGAGAAGACGGTAGGCTTGAATATATCAAACCCATATTTCTGTAGTAATGTATAATACGCATTGATCTATAGTGATCAAATTCATATCAATGAGGACCTCAGCGCTGGTTGAGATAGCTTTAATAAAATAGCTATATCTCCTCAACTAAGCAAATTCGCCCGGCAAAATATATATTTTTCTTAATGCAGAGATTCTGCTCGATCCATTAGTGTGAAGAAATTGATAGGTTACTGGTTAAAGAGTCGAATAGAAAACATAGAATATAATAACGATAACAATGATAAATGGAAATAACAACAACAACAATAAGTACAATGTACACTGATAATAATAATAATAACAATAATAATAATAATAATAATAATAATAATAAACAAATAATCTAACAATATTACTGGTGACGAGTGCACATGCAAGCATTTATAATCAAAGGTATATGCCAAAACAGCAACGGTACTACGGTTGCTGAAAGGTACGCATGTTTTATAGGTAATAATGAGGTATTCAAATGATCTAATAATAAGGCAGTTCAACAAAGATGAAAGTACACAAGTTCAAATTTCAAGACAACCCTGAACTCCTTGACTATACAATAACACAATAAAACGTACACCTTATAATGAAAACATTCTGTTAACAAAACAACTCCTAACATTATGATTCGTGGAGTTCATCGTCACATCGAATGAACTATTCAACCAATCTGTCACTACAACATCTCAAACAAACAACTTTTCACTATTTGTAAGCTAAAATCAGGTTCAATCCAGCTAGAATGGAAGAACTTCACAAAGGAGAATATGGAACTTTAACCTGGATATCTATCACATATCTTCCCATAGCCATTTCAAGTATTACTGATCAACCACCAACCTACACAAAGCTTCTCAAATTACTTTGGGCTCCGTCGAATTTTGGCCACACATTCGCCCTTCGTACTGCCAGTGTGGCAGTTCTCCTCAGTCGCAGACAACCGTCGCTTGTGTTTTCTACAAACAACAATCAATAATCTCAAATTCTGCAAAGAAGCTCACAAATCGATTCACGCTATGATTATATTGAATAAGATTCAGCAACCTGTTCGCATCGCCACCGCCATTAGTGGAATCATCAAGTAAATCTGAATCACCGGTACTGTACGACGACGAACTCGATGATGAACTCGAATCATCCGATGACGCCATGTCCACGTCTGTTTCTTCCCTCGCCGCTTGCTCTGAAAATATATCTTTAAATTGTGCGTGTGCGAATTGCTACAAGTGCATAGAACACTTCGGCACTTTCACAAATATGAAATCACAAAAAATGAATGGGCATAAACAGTTCAAACAGCTCAAAGACGCAATTACAGATCCAGGTAATCAATACAGAAACTGAAAGCGGTACAGTCGCCAGTAGCTTGGAAACTACCACTCTGAAAACATCACAGATGAGCGGAAATGAATGAATCGAACATAGAAACAAAAACGAACGCATGATCGGAAGCAGTTCTGGACGATGTTTTCGAATTGACCGTAGCCAGTGTTTGGCGAAATTCGGCCGTTTCCTCAACGTTTTTCGCCAAACTCCTGGCAGATTTGTTAGCGAACAAAAGTTCTGTGTCACCGCAACTGTTTCACTCAAATTCAGTACCACATGCCACCAACCTGAGACAATACTTTCATCAATTCATCAACAATATCAGACTACGTGTCAACTTCAGATTATACGCTTATAATATGAATATGTATTTACTTTATGAATATGAGATATCGAGAATGAATCTCTCACTCTAATACGTGGTTCAATGAACGGTCCGCATTTTCGCACTGAACTATAATATCTCCAAATTCATCATATTTGTCCAATTTTGAATCTAATTTTTTAAATCGCACACAAAACCATTGCACAGATTCACAATGGAGAATTCGAGTAAAATTTCAAAAAAAAAACATCTGAGTCATGAAAGAAGAGTTAATGAAACGACTGAAGCAATCACAGAATTTACCAGACGGAACGAAGATGACCTCACCAGGGTGCTGAACCGCTTCAATTGGTTTCAACTGCTGCGGCCAATCGTCCGCTTTCATTCGTTCGTAAACACTCGTAAACCAAGTGGTCGGTTCATCTGGATGTTTACCGCATTCGTCTCTGAACGGTTTCAGCAAATTTTTCGGCGATTCTGGATGCAAAAAACACCATCTGGAAATGCATTCATTTAGAGCAATAGACCGAATACTCCACTGAGAGATTATCAATTTGTCTCTGCATGCGAACATTTTTCCCAAAGCTGAACTTTTCAGAAAGAACAATGAGAAATTCTATCTTAAAACCCGCAAAAAATTCACTCCAAATGGCATAATTCTCGAACGAGATTGTAATTCTGCTACTGAAATAAATTGACTGAATATTCCACACATTATTTTACAAAATGAAAATTTGCACTGCTTCATAACAAAAATTTTCGAACAAAGGGCGACGAAAGAACTTCTTCTGTCCAAAAATCAATGCGTTCCAAGCACTTGTTCCCAATGGGTCAATATGAATGCCACTTCCCGATCTGCTCGGTCCAATGACAATCCATCGATACGGTGGTCGTCGCTTTTCACTTGCATATCCAAACAGATCATCTTTGAAAAACTGCGGCACTTCATAGTCATTCAGTAGTTTCTGCGTTTTATGTCGCTGAATTTAAGATGAAATTTCATATCATAAAAGGAATTCGAAATATGACTGAAGCATCGAAACTGGAACGAACCTCACCGAAACTGCTATCGAATATATACAGCGGGCAATCATCGTTTGTCGTTTGCATATATTCAATGAAATATTTCATTTTCAGCTTCACCGAGTAGCCATCATCGTCCTCACCGCATTTGAATTTCTGGTTCCGGTATTTCTTGCCTAGAGCCTGAAGATGGAAGTTCAACTGCAATCATTTCTTTTCATGGAATTATTCGTAGAATGTTGGGATAAATTCATTCTAATTGTAAGACTTATCATTATTGATGAGGTGAAATAAGAATGCTTCTTCAAAACTCGCCTCTAAAGTCCACTTGCTTGATGCACGCCAACTCTGAGTGAGACCCGTCAGGATGATCGGAATTCGGCGTGTTTCATAACGTTTCACAAACTCGTCAACACTCAAGTGGCTGGCATCAACACGTTCGATGTTATCACCATGCAACAGATCTTCCGACCACAACCACTTCTCCGCATAATTCAATCGATTCCATTCGTCGGCTTTCAACTCTCAAGTATCGAATATAATAGTGCATTCTCCTGTGATCCTTTCCAATGGAGGCGATACACTTCGCATGGGGTAAAAAAAGCAGAAAATTTAATGAAGCATATAGAAAATTCATGACAAAACTAGCAAAAATGATTTCTGCTGAGATGAAAATTGGTGAATTTAGAGTAAATAGGATGGAATGAAGAAAATATCGGAAGAAAATGTGAGATGTAAAGCGTTGAGGATTAGATTTTACCAGGTCGTGCATTCTTTTTCGCATCAGCTATTCGACGTTTCATGCGTGATTCCTTCATCTTGTTCACACCATAGCTTTCGCTCTGCTCTTCGCCGACGAACACCACTCCTGTCAGTCGCGATTGGTGTTCGACTGGTTTCGTTAATCTGTTTTAACCCTGTGATTTCTTTAAATTTAAAAACAACCAAAATGTCACGGACATCATATCTTATCCCAAATATTACCATTCTAGTTCCAGAACAGAACCGATTAACAATATCCTAGAAATCAACATTCCTAGAATGCTTCATCGGCATTGTTCCTTCATATCTCAACGCGGTAATTTTGTATTTCAGATTGGTAAAATCAAAACGGCATTTCACTCGTTCAAATTTGCAGTTGAATGTGTAGTGCAGTGGTACACAAACACTTCGCCAAGTACGAACGGGGTGACCACTCGCCAAGTGATGGAGGTGGGATTTTCATTTGATATATGTTCAGAAATGTGAATTTCTTACCTATTCAACGGGAATAAATTCATGAAATTCATATATTATTTTGTAGCACAGATCCAGGAGAATAAAATATGAGTGGTAGATTCACCAGTAATCAACATATGCTCGAGATTTTCGATTTCGCGTTAAGTGCAAAAATGCAACAGAAAAGTAGAAGTTAAATAGTACTCCATCTATCCTTCGCATCCAGCTCATCAATGTAAGCAGATTGTCTTGAAAAAATTTCGTGATGCGCTCGATTGTGATATTGAATTGTGACATGTTTGAGTGACATTGTGACATGCAACAGCTAATTCGAGTTATTGTGACATTGAAAGTATTCGCTGACATTGGACATATTGTGACATTGAACGTGACAGCCTGCAACAAGTCGCTCACATTGCACGGTTTTGATGAAAATAACATTCTCAATCAACTCATAACTGATCATCCAACTCCGTGAAATGATTTTACCAAACTAATCAACAATCAGAGTTACTCTGTACACTATTACGAACACATTCTATCGACTTGAACCCATTATGAGGTGTCCAACCCCGTGAAATAATTTCACGACCTATTCAACAGTCACAATTACTCTCTACACCATTACGAACACATTCTATTGAATTCAACTCATATTTGATTTACCGTACACTTGCGCTCTCATTCCAACAAATCAGTCGCCGTAATCGAATTAACTTTTCTGTCGAAAACACAAATGTTTTTTAATTTGTGAATTCACATCGAACTCGTCGACAATACTGTTCATGCTGCATGCACATTACTGCAGTCGAATGAATGTCTCTTCGATATCGTCTCGTTGCTGATTGATTCGAAGTTTAACTTCACAGTCGATGCCTACAGGAACCGCTTCAGTTTTGAGTTTGGGTTATTTCAAAGTGTTGATTCAATCGACGAAATCTGACAATTTTCCGCATGGTTGGTGACCAAAAAAACATCGGCGAGTATGCGTTCATTCTGCTGTTATAACGCCCACTTCGTATGGAATGCAAAAGCTAAATCGAGTTAATTAGATTGTTGTTGATTTGAGTTCAGAATTTCAAGTCTTTCATTTCAACGATTATTTTCGTCACTCTGTTCAATTGCACATTTAAACGATCATGTTTCAAAGAATTCAGTAAGTTTCTATGTCGATCACAGTGCGGTTGATCATGATCATGAAGTGTTTATAAATCTTTTCATTTCATGTGTTTTTATTAAGGCTTGTTTATAAAATAACTTATGATCCTACTTAATACTCATAAGATATTCATATCTTATTGAATTGATAGTGTTGTTAAAACGATTCGAATTTGAACGTGTTGTTGGGTGCGATTATTTCATTGTGAATAGCGTTATCGTGTTCTGAATGATACAGAAAGTAAATTCTGTGAAATGATGATGGTCAATGACTTTAAAAGTTCATCTGAATTGTTGGGTATTTCATTCAGCCATCTGAAAGATTGTTGAATTCGACTGATGGAAAGGATTGTAATGTTGCTTGGAGCAATTCTTATACTCGTTCATCATTCGAATGCTCTTTCAAAATTTGATCCTCAATTCATCGATCAATTCCTCACTGGATGTGGTGCAAAGTTAAATCTATCCAAACCATGTGCTCAGAGTATTGAAAAGGTAATATTCAAAAATTCAGAAAGCATTGATACGAGTGAAGCAGTGAAATGGTGATTCACATGAATAATCGGCGCTCCTCTACCGAAATCTAAAATTGATCAGTACAGCAAGATCTAGAGCTTTACGTCAACAGTGACCATCTTCGACTGATATTAATAAGAACTGTAATCGAGAACGACCGAACTGGGTTTTTCATCGAACTGTTTCGGTCTGACTAAAGAAATCATCCAGTTGTGATCACATTAACTTTTAATTTGATCGAATTCGTTCCCTAGATTAGGGAATCGTATGGCTAATATTTGGTGGAAATTTTCGTGAAATTCAGACTTTGTGTGACTGAATCGGTAGTTATGTATAGTGAAATTTGACTAGATTTTGAGATCAAAAAAGAGATGCAGTTGACTGTTTTCAGATTAGGTGGTTTCTGAATGCTTACGATACACTTCCACAACAGTGGTCACTATTTTATACGGCATACGGAAATGGTCAATTGGAGTTCATGAATGATAATCGATGGGTATGAAGGATACTAACGTTGATTTTTGTTGCGTTTTCATTTGAAATGCAGTGATTTGCGATGACTGAATTAAATATTGATAGTATCGCATGATTCAGTTTGACTAATCCAGTCATTCAAAAAATTCTATCATCCACACACGAATTTTCAGCTTAGGAAGTGAGGCACGAATTGGAGAGCGTTTCTCTTCGATAGATTTGTCTTTTGAAAACTATCCGTGATTAGGATGTTCGTCGCCTGAAGATATTTAGAGTTATAGCAATTCAATATGATGGCATGCTTCGAGAGTGCTGCCGAAACACAGTATTCAAGATCCGAGTATCCAATGAGCTATTGTATTGGTACGACTGGATCGCGTAAAGATACATTTGGAATATGCATACCGAGGAGATGTAGCCAACATTCGGATGCATTTCAGGCAAGGAAACGAACTCAGATTTGTGATCGAGTTTCAGTATAAGTATAATACTGACGTAAGATGTTGAACTTCTTGGCCCTAATGTGGTTTGCTCTCGATTCACATATCAAAACATTTATCCACGCTATAAGTGAATATTCCTTTGATATGAAAAGACGTCCTATCGAATCATTCAGAGGCATAATTTGTTGCTGACTGTGAGGGAATCTTGGTGCAACGAAGCAAAATCTTCTCCGTCTTTGGCTTATTATCGATGTGATCGTCAGTCGATCGAGAATCAAATCTAATGAAATCGCGATTGTTTGCTCCATAGAAGTAACGTTATCGTTTAGATTCTGCAAGAATGGATGTCAGAATCAGCAATGAATCAATCATATCTTCGTTTGCTGGGTGAAGATATAGAATGTCTGCACTCCAGAAAGAAGCGACAATGGACAGAGCAATGGGATGTGATCACTGAACTGACAATCAATATGCTCTCAATCCTCGTTGTTTCATCATCGACCATTTTTCATCTAAGTCGCGGTCGTAGTCGATATTCAAAGTGTGTATACATTATTTGTGTTGAAGTTTCCTAGACGAGAACGAATGAACCTAAACCTGTTGCGAGCTCTGTCGGTCATCTGTGATCATGCATGCCTCATTCTAGTCATTGCATATTTCAGTTCACTCTTATCACGAATTTATCTCTCATTCGCAGTATCGAATAACTACCAGAAACTGTTCACGATTTCAAGAAGTCGTCAAAACACGATCGAATGCCTTGTCGGCCTTCGAGTCCTTTCTATGATATGGGTCATAGTTGCACATACGATTTGTCTTATACAAGTGAGTATCATTATCATTTATCAAATCTTCTTAAGTCAGTGATAAGCAAAGATAAGGGCTAACGAGATGTTTATGCCAAAGACTCAAGTAGATACGAGTCTTTCCACCGTGTAGTTCTAATGGTTGTATGCATTGATTCATCAGTATATTCTTAAAAACTATATCAGCATTTCAATTCTAATTGCACCAAAAACTCTCCCATGAAGGTATCATCTCCCATTTTTAGCTGCATTTGTCGAACGTAAACGATCTGCGAAAGGATATTTCAACAAGCTTCTTCGATCAGTGGATCACAAACCCTACCCTATCTGTAACATCATTCTTTGTCATCAGTGCCACTGTTAGCTCGTATGGATGGTTTCTGAAGTGGAATGTAGCAGAAGAACGTAATACTTGATAATGTTCAATCGATTTAAAAAAATATTTCAACATGTAACGAGTAATAACAGGTAATTAGGTAGTAGATAGAAGCCGGATAGCCTGGCTCAGGCTCACAACATTAATGATATTGGTACACCACTCGATTTCGAGCTAAACTTTCCTCCGTGAACTGGAATCGAACCCGCGACGTACCAATTACCGGTTGGGGCTTGACACAACCATTTAACACAACCACTCGGCGGAGACTGAACCGTCTCCGCGGTAGCTCAGAGATAGACCGCAACCAGTAATTGTAACGTCGATTCCCGTTCGCCGACGAAAGCTTTGCTCGAAACCGAGTGGTGTACCAATATCATTAACGTGTAATGAGTGTAATTCCATCGCATCTCGGTAATAATCAAAAGAATTGATTGCAGAGGAACGAAGACAAATTTACACCGTGAAATATTGGCTGAAATTCTATATTCATCGGATGATTCGTCTTTTGCCCGCATACTTCTACACGCTTATAACCGTAACGTATAAGTCAACAAATCATTCGTATAGTTCAGCATGGCCTCAGACTGATCCATACGTACAATGTCGAAAGCATTGGTTGGAACATTTACTGCTACTGAATTGTTTTGGTAAAGCGACGTGTCTTGGATGGACTTGGTAGGTAGGAGCATTCATCGCTTCGAATCTGTTAAATCTTGGCGAGTGTTGTTTGATGAGCAAAAATAGGTGATGAAGAATATTTTATTAGTTCTTTTTTTTTGCAGGTATGTCAGCGCAGAATTTTTCTGCTATTTAGCATCACCGATATTTTTGATCACTTTGGCGATCAATTCATGGATCGGGATCGCCGTATCGATCTTCACAATCGGTTGCTCAAGTGTGTATGCAGCATTTTTAATATTTCGAGACAACTTGCCACCAGTTCCTTTAATTTGGTCCATACAATACGGCTATGATATCGAATATTATCATGTGAGAAGTTTGACCATTTGATTGCAATTTGTTTGCGGCTTATTGAACCAAAAAATTGCTGCGCAGCTGTATAATCGAAAAACCTAAAATTCATTTTTATCAACTTGTGAGGAATTTGCGAAGAAATTGCATCATTTGCCCGGAAATAGAGCTATTTGGATTCGTTGACCGCAGTTATGAGTTACAGTTCTGGTGGTTAAGGAAAACTCCTCATAGAATGATTGCTGACGTATCGTATGGTAAATCAATTTGCAGTTCATCATCGCAATTTCCATACCATTCGTTTAAATGCAAAATTTCCTCCGTCATAATCACTTAATATCGTTTCATTGGTGATTCCTTGGAATGTCATTGATTAGACTGGCAATTTACCGTCAGTCTTCGAAAGCGCACTAACCTCATTAGACGGTTCGCACCCGAACAGTCTCTGTATAAGACAGAACTGATGCTTTTATATAGATACTACGTATGCAGTGCTAAAGTCAGCTGGAATGGTCTTTGAGAATAATTTTATTGACGAAAACATTCTTTTCTTAAATTTTCACGTACGTATTTACACATAACATTTTCGAAGTAATCAACTCAATAACAAATGTTATTTAAATGACCAGAAGAAATTTCGGTTCATCAAATATGTTAATGAAACATATAATTGAGATATGTTTCGGAATGAACTAACCAGTTTTGGAATGAAGTAATCAACTCAATAACAAATGTTATTTAAATGATCAGAAGAAATTCCGGTTCATCAAATATGTTAATGAAACATATAATTGAGATATGTTTCGGAATGAAGTAACCAGTTTTGGAATGAAGTAATCAACTCAGTATCGAATATTATTGAAATGATCAGAAGAAATTCCAGTTTATCAAATATATAAATGAACCTTGTAGTTGAGATATTAGTCATAAGAACGAAATATCGTCATGCTTAATTTAATTATGTACTCATGACGATTGGTACAGTAATGAGTGTGGAAATATGTTTTCGCGAGCAATGAAACAATGATAACTCGATGATTGAATTAAACATTTCCGAGTTCGATCGGAATTTGTCAAGCCTCGAATCATATGAACGATGAAAATTTGGATTTTTTGATCAGACTTCAGCATGTGACCAGTGTATATATACGACCTGAACAACATATCAGTGCTTATGTTATCGGTTTACTGCTCGGCTACCTTTTGACCACACTGAAAAGAGAGTCTCAACGGAATACTTCACTAAACACCCGTGTTTGGTTGGGATGGCTAATAGCGTCAAGCTTTGGTTTCATCTCGTTATTTGGGCTTTATCCGGTTATACAGGTATCCTTTTGAGGTGCTCAATTGCTGCGGATCAAGTGCAAATGCTAATCAACTTCGATTGAGCATTTTTATATTGTTTATGCAGTTGATTACATTGCTGAGCGTTGAATAAAGCTCTAAAAACTAAACAAGAGATCTTAATATGAGATCATAATGGTTCTGACAATTAGTTCACACATAGAAGATTTTTGGATTTTAAGTTTGTTGTACCAGCTGAGAACTGCAGACGGGCTTGAGCTCAATAGAAATGAAAGAATTGCTAAAGTTAGCTTCCGACATCGATCAAAACGTTTCTGCTGGAACATTGCAACTGTTCACTTGTTCAAGCCTAGCGCAATCCGTCGTATTCGTGGATAAGCATTCGCGTAGATAAGCATCGGAATCATCGTTCTCATTCGTTATTCGACTTCAGAGTTGGCACTGGAGAGTGTATGATATTGTGTTCGGTGGAAGTTTTCGAATTCTGTGGTCATGCTTCATCGGATGGCTAATCTATGCATGTCACATGGGACATGCTCGCTTTCTGAACACTTTTCTTAGTGCCAGATTTTTTCGACCATTCTCTGCTCTCACCTACACAGTATTATTTTCTATTTCAACCGTACTGATTGGCTGAAAGTTGTCTACAGTAGACGTGTTCATTCCGTTTGGATTTTTGCACTTAACGTTGGTACTTTCCGCAGAGAGGAGTTCAATTCATGCGAAAATTTAAAGAGATAAAATAAGGAACATTTCGTAATGTAGAAATGAATGTTCCATAGAAATAGACAAACTTGACGGGGAACTGAAAGAAACTTCCCAACGTGCATATTTCCAGTGAAAAGTTTCAGGCTTATTTGGTTCATATGGTGCACATAGCGAGTGTACTTCAAGGTCAACGATTTCCACTGGTCTATCGCGGTCGTTATCAAATTTTTGCATATGTTTCGAAAACAGTTTTGCTCAGCTACTTTTTTGCTTTATTCGCAGCATTTATTGCTGAATATCCAGCAATGAACCTGGAACGTATCATATTCTCGAAGAAATCAATCCCGAATGGTCGCATGCCAAATGAAGACACCAAAAAACTGATGCATTACGGGCACAAAACTGATCTTGTTGCGAATGATCAACAGAACGTGAATGAAATGATCAACCGACGATGAAATGCGATTCATCATTTTTAATGTTTCGATTAATTTTTCAACTCGAATGAATCACTGAAATATCATTGTTTCGATGTATGTAGTTGAAAACTGTCACCAATATTCAGTAGATGTATTCACATGCATTCGCAATTATGGAAGTGGAAAAAAATTTGTTGCTTGGAATTCTGCCTTGGGAGGTTTTAATCATTTACTTTGTCTGACTGTTCATTTACCCATCTGTAGATCGTATGGAGATCACTCAGCTGGGTGCCTCCTATGTTAGGTGATTAGCTACCCACGATCACTTTAAAGCGCTCATTGTTTAATAATTTCGGATTATTACAAATTCTGAATCTCATGATATTTCAATATTGTCACCAATACACTGTTTATCGATCACTCAATCCTTTAGAAGCGCTTATTGATTAAGAACTCGGATTACTACAAGTCTTGAATCTCATTGATATTTCAAAATCCCACTGTATCACTATTTTATTTCCGCCGTGAATGTTTCCTTCCATATATTAATGCACCAATAAAGAGGTTGAATGTTTTACAGTTTGTTGAATTACGGCTCTAAGAATGCAATGATTTTATGAACTCAGTCGTCTGCTGAGTACGTTAACCTCAGAATGCCATAAGTACCACCATGAGAATCTTATGTGAACGGTAGAATTTTGCTTGTAAGACTATTGTCACACACTGTTGTGAATGATTAGCCAAGAACTCACACGTACATATCATTTTTGACGAGAATTGAATCATCCGATGGAGTGCTGAGAGTGAATTCTGCGAGGTTTGAAGTGAATTCGAAAACAGTACCTTGAAGTGCGGATTCTAATTTGAGAACGAACTTTTGCAGAACAGAAATTCACAACTTTGCTTGCGAAACTATTTCAGTGTGATGATAACAGATGCCGCATCCATAGTGATAGCTGTTTATTGACATGTATAAACTTAATTATCCGTATGAAATTTGATCAAATGAATCACCAGTTTCGCTGACGAAAATAATGATTTGCACTTAGGTGAGCTCTTTCTGCGTGACAACGACCTCAAATGATTTAATTCAAAAGAGAAATTCACGAGAACTGTTGTAAAGTTGTACAACTAACGTAATGATAGTATCAGCTAGGCAATAACAAATGATGTTTGGTATCAAATAATAATTCATAATTTACAGTGTCACTCGCTAAATAATATCCTCGTTAATAGAATTTACGGTTACTTGATGTATCTAAGACTTAAGTAATGTCACGATTGTGTTTCATTCCGAACTAATGAGATTTCGCTCGTAAGTGATTGCCATAAAACACTTCATGAACACAGAGCAATTCCTTGTATATTCTCAGCATCTGATGCCTGCCTTCTTGCTGCTTCTATATGCCTTCTGTTGTTAACGCGATCTAAATTCCGTCACACAATAATTATTTGCCTCACCAATTCCTCCTTAATGTAGCTACAATATCAGAACATTTTTATTGGCTGTATTAAGTGAACTCTTAATAACTAATGTTATTATGTTAGCTTTTATAAATGGTTTAATCGGCTGTTCAACTTGACATCTCTCGGAAATACTTTTATTTGACGAGTGTGCTTACTGCCCACTCTTCAGTGCCGTATTTATTGCATATGTGATATTAATCCTTGAACAACTAGTAATTCCTGGATGAATGTATGTTCATTTATACCCATTCAGGCTGCTCACTTTGCCAGTGTGATTCAATCATCAACCGCTCTCCTTCCGTACCTTCTCCACGAAGAACATCGAATTCTATCGTGAAACGTGCACTCGGATAGCATTGCATCATGTCTTCCTTCTAAATAAGGGTTAAATTTGAGAACAGAAATATCCACTGAAGTTTCCGGGAGCCTCCTAAGACTGACTTTTGAAAGTATTGAGTGGGAATCGTACACTTCGTTAAAACACTAAATTTCATCTTTGTATGTCACTTTCAGTTGGGTGGTACTCGAGATGAGAAAGTATTGCATGAGTAAAGGATAGTATTTTGAGGAGAACATCACCAACAATCACTGAAGCAATGTCACTGGCGCCCGCTGAATACAATGTCGCTTCTTATCTTGTGGTCGGAATATTAGTGGTCATATTCAATCTACCACTCTGCAGTATTATCTTATCTGATCCTCAAATGAGAATTATTTTCGGTGTTTTAGGAGCGCTCTTCACCGCCGGTTTCCTCACAGGTTCTCGCTTTCAATCGTCTCTTCGTCCATTCTTCAATTGTGCACTCGAAATTCCATTTGTCCAAGACTTCTGTTCTCCTTTCAGAAACTTTCCAATGCTTTGTTCTACACTTAGCACAAACGTAAATGAATTCACTCGTTGAGCTCTCATCGTAATCGTTGCGGAGATTTCATGAACACTCGATGTTTAAGTTCACTAATCTAAACTGATCTCTTCATTGAATCGTGCTCTGTTAAATTTGATCGAAAACCAATTCCAGATCTTATTTTTTCGACTAAATCACTGAATCCGATCAGAATTTTGCCTGCAAGACGGTGAAGGTTATCGCTCATTTTCGAGCTTCAAATCATAGAAAACATGCTGAAAGCATTAACTTCGCTAGAGTCCGTCTTTCAATCCTTGAATGTTGCAAAACGTCGTTGCTTGTTTTAGGCGTGGGCAGTATACTGAAGGCTTTATCACGGATATTTGAGTACGATAGCGATTTGATGGACGAGTACATTTTCAGTGGTTTTCGTTGCCTCTACAAGGTTGGTAAAAAATTTTTTGGCGGCGATCAGTTTCTTTGTTCAACAATCGGCTTAAGCAGAGGGTATTTCGGCGAGCATTTATCTCTTCTGAAGCGTATTACCTCTTCTAGTGATAATGAAAATGATAACCACAAAGATTTGATAATGATCAAATGATCAATCCTTTCAATTGATCAGTAAGATTAACACCGATGCTTCCTAACAATGCAAATAGTATTTCATCGAATGTGAAAAAGAAAGGGAGCCAAATGCTTTCGCCGGAAATACTGTTCGGCAAACTCGATATTGGATATATTCTTAAACCTCGAGGATTTCTTCTGCGAATCCAGCAAAGTTCTGATCGTTGATTGTGCATTGTTGCTGTTGAATAAAAGTTTGCGCATGTTTTAGCCGTACGTACTAATGGATCTATTCACGTTTCCGTCATTTTCCGTACTGTTGATGCTAAACAGTTTCGATCGTTTGGTAGTGATTTCAATGCCGATCACTTATTTCAAAAAGTCGAAAACTATCGTAATCTGTGAGATCCTCTTCGGGCTCATCTTAATTTCGGTACTCGAGACGTATACGATAGCAATGGCTGTCGTAGATGATGATCATGACGCGTCGATATTTTGCAGGTGATCAATGAGATATTCATGATTTGAGATGGTGATCATCAGCAATTGATGGCAGCAGTTCATATTCGGAGCGTTTTGATGGAATTTTAGCTGAAGTTATTGGATGAATTGTAACTCTGAGTTGATCGGATGAAAACCTTCATGAATGAGGTCGGAAACGTTCATTACGGTGATAATGAAAGTATCTTTTCAGACAACTTGACTTTCTACCTGTTTATGTGTACAAGGTGAACATCACATTCCGGTTGCTGTGCTCAGTGCTAGCCATTTTACTGATGTTGATCGTAGTCTACAAACTGCGACAACGATCATCGAACTCCAAAAAGTTGCAACAGAACCCGTATGAACAAGCGGAAACAAGCGGTTTGCAGGCTTATATGTCGAAACAAAACGACTTCACAAAAGCAATGCTCATATCGTGTGCATTCACCTTTCGTAAATTTTATTTAACTGGTACCTCAACTTTCATCTTGTTCTCATTACCTCGTTACCATTGAAAATTATGAACAGTGATCAACAGCATTGAAAGCGAACGGTCGTTCAATTCCGATTTGACTCAGCATAGGGTACTCCTTCATATTGGTAGAGTTTCGATTGAACTGATGCGTAGGTAGCGACGAAGTATACGAATGCTAGGAGGCAAAATCAGATCATAAACTATTTGATCTTACAGTGATAGTTAGATATTTAGAATTGAATAAAGGTCATCAGTTTGATAAAGTGAAAAAATATTTACGCCACAATAACGTGTGAGTTCATTGACGGGAAATTACAAAATTATATTTCGAAAACAGAAATCGAGTAATGTTTTCATCATTATTGTTTCACGCCATCAGTTTTGTTGATATCGAAGAAATGGCAGCTGATATTGCTGTTGTAACTAGTGCCATAATTTCATTAGTAACACGAATCTTATCAAGGTGAAGTGTTTATAGTACAATGTCATAAGTTGTTTTCGATTACATTCGGTTAGTAAATTTGATAAATTATTACCATATCAACGATACGATTGAGTGCTTTATGAGAAAAATACATGTGCACACTTTTTGAAGTACGATTTCTAATGAGAAAATCAAATTTAGATATTGCGTAGTAAATATTCAAATTAAATTAAACATTTCGATTAAGAATCGAACTTGTTTAGCTCATGAATTTTGCCGCTTAATATTAACGACCGCTCGTTTGATGTTGAATTAATTCTGCTGTCAGTTGAATCAGTTCGAGAAATACAAATAACTAGGAGACACCGATAATAACCTAGTTAAAATCCGAAATGCTTGTGCCCTACTAGGTCAGGTGCCCTAGATTTAGCTGGCGTTGTTGACTACAAGTTGTAACGTAAGTACATCTGATCACTTTACGCACATCATAATTGAATAAAACATCAGACCATTGAGTTGTGAAATTCATTACGAATAAATACGATAACTGAACTGTTTTACACTTCAGAAATAAAGATTCATGAAATGCTTGAGACTTATGATGGACTTGAGTGTGACCTCATGAATTACCGAGCGTTGGTTGCAATTTGAAGTTGACATCGATGTTGAAAGTTCGAACCGAATGAGAGTGAAATATTTTCAAGCAAACACATTGTATGAAATCCGACAACTAGTTTTGTGAAGCATATGGGAGAGGAAACGAAGTTGTGTTTGTGAAAATAAGTGAACAATTGGATAGGTTTTGTTCGACTATGAATTGATATTGCAGTGCTGGATACTATTCCGAATGTGATCGTTGTCTGCGCACATTCGGCGAAGTTTCCGAATTACGATGACTACGTAACGTACACGAGAATCATTTCGATGCTGAACTCGATAATTATGGCAACGGTGGTTCTGTGCAGAAAGACCGACATTCGAACGCGATTCTTAGCTTTCCTGAAAGCAGTTTTCAGCCGAAGAAAGGCGATTGGAGCGATCTCAAGAGGTGGATGGATGTTAAAGAGATGAGGTGCCGTGCCCTTGCCGGTTGAGTGTTTCGTAACAAGCCGTTAATATTTGAGACAGTTTTTTAAATGTATCCATCGCTCCACTTTGTCCTTTCAGTTTTTTTTTCTTGATGTGAATTATTTCTTCTTTTTTTTACTCGTGTGTTCGCTGAATCACTTTGTGGTTTATTGTTAGACCACAAAGAGTAATCAATTGCTGTGTCTATGGGACATAGCAATTAATTTGAATTTGATCACTCATTAATTTGATCATTAAATAACAATCATTAATTTGAATCACTCGTTCTTCATTGGAAGTGATCTGTTCCCGGTTCAGAATTCCATTTCCGATTCGTTTTCGATCTTAATGATTTGCTAATAAATGTAACTCTTTTGCCCGAATTGCTTTGTAAGTAATGACAATCGTAGGAGTAAGATGAACAATATTATTTATGCACGACAAACGAATCAGTCAATCGAAACAATAAAAGATCACACATTAGAAGTATTATCCAGCTCATTTCTTGCCCTCAACCATAATCACATGATAACCGAATTGAGTCTTCACAGGCGGATCCGTATAGATGGGTTTATCGACGGTGCTATTCGGCAACGCAAACGCCGCATCTTGAAATGCACCAACCATAGAGCCACGAGTCATCCAACCCAGGTCACCCTTCAATGAGAGTAATTTGGCTCAGGGCATGAAGAATTTGTTGTGTCATTTAACGATAAGATCGAGATCCATTATGGCACTGTGTCAGCATCAGGCCACTCAGTGAAAACACTTACCCCAGATCTAGCCTTATCCTCACTGTATGTCGCCGCAACCTCGTTGAATTTCTGTCCTGATTTCAACTTCTCAATCGCTTCAAGTGCTTTTCCCTTCAAAAATGCATTTCTGATGGTTATAGACAAAATTATTTTCGTACATCAATGAAATAGACTCGTTCAGAGTAATTTGCATTCAAAGAGAAAAACTTGATGAGTACCCCCATGCCTACCATACGAGAGAATTTCGTTTGTGAGCGAATGAATGAGACTGCATACGAATAATGCATGAGCAAATAAAACATACTCCACCATAAGACATATTGAAAGTAGACTGATTATCGATTGATCAGTTTTCACTGATTGTATTTAAAATTTTAGAAAACAAACTACCGATTTTTCGAAATGAAATGTTATGAAATTAAGGTGAAATGTTATGTATGAATGCTAATGGCAAATGCTCGATTTGAAATAATTTTGAATTTATTCAATTGAGTAGTTCACTGACTTTGAGGAGTGAAGCAAAATTTCGTATTCAATCACCTGTTTCTCACAAAGTATATGTCTTACTTTGACCGCTGTACCTCCTTTCGCTTCTTTCTTGCCCTGATCTTTACTAGCGCTTGCTGATGCCTTAGCTCCTTTCGCAGCCCCACCACCCTTCTTTGGAGGCATCACTCGAGTTTAGCACCTTCAAATTCCACTTTTTTGAACATTTGAGCAATACTACAAATCGCTCCATCGTGAAATTTGCGAAATTCAAGTTTTTAGGAGATGAGGAGGCAATAAAAAACAGTAGAACGTGGAATTCGAATGCCATTCAAGATGTGCGTGCTCAAATGCAATTCGAAAGTGCCGTTCTTAAATTTGAAACTAGTCTCGAACAATAAGCAGCGAATGAACAAGCACCCGAACACGACTGTCAACACGACGACATTGCCCTTAAGGCATATGAAATCAAATTGCCCGTAAGGTTCCAAAATAAACTCGCGTTTAAAGTGAATCGCAAAATCAAACTCCTAAACTGCTCTTTTGACCAATACAAACGGTCATCTGTTTTCCTTCTGATTGTAAGCTGATCACTTTTATGCAATTCATTACCATATAGTCAACCTCTCTACAGATTTAATCGTCCCCACACTCCTTCAAACCACTCCACACTTCAGCCTAGACAAGCATATAGGTAAATCTCCGTAGGCAGAGTGATTTCTCACACGTTCGCTTGTTCTGTTCCGTTGCGTTCCATGTGGTGTGCGAGAAGAATGAGATGAATAATCATAAAAACGATATGAAAACCAGTGATTGCAGTTTATTGATTGCCAAGGGAAAGGAATACAATTGCAATTGTTGATGAAATACGATAAAACCAGTTGTTCGACAGAGAAATCAATAGACAAAGCATCATCAATTAATCAATGATCGCATTCCATTCAGGAGAGAAGTAGTACAGAGAATCTGAAATTGCAACTGGAAAGATGCCGTAAGCATCGGAGGCTAACTGCAGGGGGCTTCGCTTACAGAGTTGATATCTTCCCATCACCTGACAATAATAGTAATATTGATGGCGCAGTTTTAGGATGGTGAATACAGAGCAATTACATAGAATGCTAAATTGCTTACATAAACAGCACAATTTACAGAAGGTATACACTCAAGTCAAGGTAGAGATTACAAAATTATTGAACGATTAAACACTACACAGGGGTGGGTAACACATCGCTTCAGGTGATAGTCCATAATGGGCACAACATCGCTGGATGTAAAATCAAATGACCAGCACGCAATAAATAGGATCGAATACCAAATCAAAATTATCAATTAATAACTTAAATTGTGGTCAGTTAGTGCTTCTGTCCAAAGTAATTTAGAAAAATCTTCTAAATTTAAGATTCATCAAAACATCGATAAAGCTAAATCATATCTTACAAATCTTTCATAAAGCTGATACTGTTCATCGACTACTTTAAATCATGATTATATCTTGCTTCAACCAACGATTATGCATAATGATAGCGACACAAAAAGATGAAATACGGCTTAAATCAGATCGAATCGAAAAAAGCATGCTCATCTCACAAATCAACCCAACCTAGCGCTGAAAATTCGACAGAATTGAATAAAAACCACAAAATCGTTCACGATCATAATAATAATGAAATCAGTTCACGATATCAATGCTGCTGCTGGTCATATAGAAATAAAGATTACCATCAATAAGGAGAACAGGATGGAATCAACTCATAAATCATAAGAAAAATGTGGTCAAAGGGATATGAAATACCAAGAAACGGAGTGAGTAAGGGGAGGGGGTGATGGGGTATGGGGTGAATTGAACGACTGAATTGAATCAGTAGCCTCCACGGAGACGGAGCACAAGGTGGAGAGTGGATTCTTTTTGGATGTTATAGTCGGAGAGGGTGCGACCGTCTTCGAGTTGTTTGCCGGCGAAAATGAGACGCTGTTGGTCTGGTGGAATGCCCTCTTTGTCCTGGATTTTAGCCTTCACATTCTCGATCGTATCCGACGCCTCCACCTCAAGGGTGATCGTCTTCCCGGTTAGGGTCTTCACGAAGATCTGCATGCCACCACGTAGACGCAACACCAGATGAAGAGTGGACTCCTTCTGGATGTTGTAATCCGACAACGTACGACCATCTTCGAGCTGTTTACCTGAACAATCAATTCAACGTCGTAGACTTAATGAATCACTACCAACAAAGAATTGCAATCGCGAAACAAAGATTTTCCGTTTTACCAGCAAAGATAAGACGCTGTTGATCTGGTGGAATACCCTCCTTGTCTTGGATCTTCGCCTTCACATTCTCGATCGTATCCGACGCTTCCACCTCAAGCGTTATGGTTTTACCCGTGAGCGTTTTGACGAATATTTGCATACCACCTCGTAACCGTAACACCAAATGTAGAGTCGACTCTTTTTGAATGTTGTAATCGGACAGAGTACGTCCATCTTCAAGCTGCTTACCTGAAACCAACCAACATCAGATATGACCAACTGAACTGCTTGAGGAAACCGCTGAATGCCTTATTATTTCGTAAATTGATCAATGAATGCGTACCCGCAAAGATGAGTCGTTGCTGATCCGGTGGAATCCCTTCCTTGTCTTGGATCTTGGCTTTCACATTCTCGATCGTGTCGGATGCTTCCACCTCAAGGGTGATCGTCTTACCGGTAAGCGTCTTAACGAAGATCTGCATACCACCACGCAAACGCAACACCAAATGGAGGGTCGATTCCTTTTGGATGTTGTAATCAGACAACGTGCGACCATCCTCGAGTTGTTTCCCTGGAAAATTTCGCGATGAATTTCAGTAGGACTGATTCAAAAACGCAATAGAACTTTGACATCTGTGAGATCCAAATGTCCCCATATGACTGACTTTCTCATGTTCAAGAGCTTACCAGCGAAGATCAGACGTTGCTGATCGGGTGGGATTCCCTCTTTGTCCTGAATCTTTGCTTTCACATTCTCGATGGTATCGGAAGCCTCAACCTCGAGGGTGATCGTCTTACCGGTGAGCGTCTTAACAAATATTTGCATTCCTCCGCGCAAACGCAACACCAAATGGAGGGTCGATTCCTTTTGGATATTGTAATCGGATAGTGTACGTCCATCTTCCAACTGTTTTCCTGCAACAATTTCACTACTGCAATTGGTGTTCTTAACATTTTTCACTGTTAAACAATGCTGAAAAACTTTCACGAAGCGAAAAGCATTTCGCAGCAAACTAAACGATCACGATTACGAAAACATACCAGCGAAGATGAGACGTTGTTGATCGGGTGGAATTCCTTCTTTGTCCTGGATCTTTGCCTTCACATTTTCGATGGTATCCGACGCCTCAACTTCCAGAGTGATCGTCTTACCCGTTAGGGTTTTGACGAAGATCTGCATTCCACCACGTAGACGCAAGACCAAGTGTAGGGTTGACTCCTTCTGGATGTTATAATCAGACAGAGTACGTCCATCTTCAAGCTGTTTTCCTGAAAATCGAACTTCTTACCTCATGACGAACTGAAAGCCAATTCTATCACTGTGAAGTGATAACTTTTCAATTTTTGCAATACTCTTCCCTGCCCGAATTTCCAAATGATGGGACGACTAACCAGCGAAGATCAGACGTTGTTGATCTGGAGGGATTCCTTCCTTGTCCTGAATCTTGGCCTTGACGTTCTCGATCGTATCCGAAGCCTCCACCTCAAGGGTGATCGTCTTGCCAGTCAGCGTTTTAACGAAAATTTGCATACCTCCACGAAGTCGCAAAACCAAATGGAGGGTTGATTCCTTCTGGATGTTGTAATCAGAAAGTGTACGTCCGTCTTCCAACTGCTTTCCTGCATTCAGAACAAAACGTAAAACATTATCTTCAGCCAACGAAGAAGAACAACTCATATCAAGTTGAAAATCTTATAACTCTCAGTTATGTGAGGTGCAATTAACCTACCAGCGAAGATCAGACGTTGCTGATCTGGAGGGATACCCTCTTTGTCTTGGATTTTGGCTTTGACGTTCTCGATGGTGTCCGAAGCCTCCACCTCGAGTGTGATAGTCTTGCCAGTAAGTGTTTTCACGAAAATTTGCATACTTGAAACGTTGCTGCAATCAGAAAACCCATTAACTACTGCCAGACATCCGAAACATCCGCTCGTAAAACGACACAACAACCAAGAAGTCAGTCTATCAGCAACACCACAACTAATTTCGTCATCTTCCTTTCACACTTTCAAGCAGTTTGGCTTCCGTCTAAGCAACCACAAATAGCCCACCCATACCGGAACCAATCACTTCTTTACGTCTGACCGGACGAAAGTACCCGAAACAAATGTTGCCCGACGACGTGAACAAATGGGAACATTAAAAGCTCGAGAACCCACAAACGGACGCACCTCCAGGCAGACCTCAAAACGAACTGAATACTCTCCCATTTCAGTCACAAAGCTTTTATAGTGAAACAACGCAATGCGTTTTGCGATTGGTCGAAACGCGCTTGCTTCGTATGAATAATCGCTCGCACGAGCGGTTCTCCACCCCAACGCGCGTGACTTGGAAAATCGATATTAACAATAAGGTCAGCTGATGATATTCCCGCATAGACGTCAATAAAGCTTTAAATTAGCCTAAAAATGAAACTGATGGAATTATGCAAAAGTGTCACACTAATCTTAAATGATCAGGAAATTTCGCTCAATCCAGAATAAATTTACTTTCCGTTCAAAGAAAAGTTTTTTATGAAGTTGATTTTCATAATTTTCCCGAGAACTTCACATACTTACTTTCACATGAATTCTTTGACGTTTATCTTGGCCGGTTTTGGAAGTGTTTTGGGAAGGAGAAAGACACCTAGGGTAAAGTTTCTAAATTCAACCGTAATTTGACGGGTTTTCCAATGAAATTTCGTGGTCGTAAGTAGAATTTTTTCGTTTTCGCACACACACACACACATAAAGACGATATGAACAGATGAGTGATTTCAAAACGACGATTACGAAATTGCACTGGAAAAGAGGATGTTATGCATCAGTTCAGATCGTTTGAACAATATTTTTTATTTGCATAAAACACGATCATCAGAGACGTCAGCTGGCTGCGTCATGGTGAAACACTCAACCGGCCACAATTTTATTCATCATTGTGCAATAGTAAATAATTCAAAAG